TCTTTATCTTGGCTCCTGTAAATAATGCTGCAAAGAACACAGCAGTGAGGCTATCTTTTTGAGATTCTGATTTCAATTCCTTTGAGTACATGCCTAGAAGTGGATCATATGGTAGTTCTATATTTAATTTTTTGTGAAACTTCTACATAGTGGCTGGACCAATTTACATTCCCACCAGCAGTGCCCAAGGGTTCCCTTTTCTCCATATCCTTGTCATCATGGATGGGCCTAAAGGATGTTATGCTAAATGAAATAAGTCAGACACAGAAGGAGAAATACTCCATGATTTCAGCAGCCCATGTTTCAGATGAATAAGTCCGACTGATCTACTGCATAGCACAGAACCTATAGCTAACAATGCTGTGTTGTAGACAAAACTTTGCTACGAGGGTATGTCTTATGTTGAGTGTTCTTAACACACACACACACACACACACACACACACACACACGTGATAGTCCCTTGCAGACATTGGAGAGAGGGGATGTACATAACATGGATTGGTCGAGGGGTGCCTGGCTGGCTCAGTCGGCCCTGGGCTGAGGTCAAGATATCAGGGTCCTGAAATCGAATGCCCCATTAGACTCCCTGCTCAGTCTGTTTCTCCCTCTCCCTCTGCCCCTCCCTGCCACTCATACTCTTTCTCTCTCTGAAATAAATAAGTAAAATCATTTTTAAAAATGTGGATTGGTTGGGATGATGCTGGCCCATGACACTCACTATTGTTAGGGGAAATTATGGCTGGAGCTTCTGTTCAACCTCCTCAGTTTCTTTCTTAACTCCCTTTTCTGTTCATTTACATTTTTTATAGGTAGACCACTTTATTCTCGAGACCTCTACAACTTCTTGTATTGGCTTCCAAAGCAATATCTCTAGGTCCTTCCTTGCTCTGGGACGCTTTGATCATGTTTCCAAACCTCCCCTGGCTAGCTTTCCACTTACTCCCGGTGCCTCAAATTCAGCTCACAGAAAATAGAATTCATTGTCTCATTTCTGGACTCAAATCTGTTTATTTTTTGCCTCTTCAGAGCTAATAAGTCCTGAGGAGAACATGAGCCCATATGCTAATATGTACTTTTCAAGAATTAGTACATATTATCCTCACAATAATTCTATGTGCTATTTTTCTCTTTTATATGTGAAGAAATGGAGGTCATGGGGATTAATTAACTTATCCAAGGCCACTTAGGTCAGAAAACACGGTTTCAAGACTTGAATTCAAACCCATTCTGCTCAAAAGCCCATTCTCCTCATTACTCCACCATTACTGCCCTCCAAGCCTTCTTGATGGCTGAACTTTTCATGCAGCTTCCCAGTTTTCTTCGATTCTTCTCACTTCGCATCATCACAGTCAATCATTCACAAACCTGGCCATTCTGCCTTAAAGAATATTCCTTAAATCTTTTCCTTCCTCTCTATTTCCAGATCCACATTCCTCTGTATGCCTGTTGGTTTTAATTGCCCTTGAGCTCCCACTTGGTACCTTTCATCCAATCTTCACTTCATGTTCCTGTCAAGGTAATCTTTGAAAATTCGAATCTAATTATGTTATCACCCTGCTTGAGAGCCTTCTAAGATACCCTTGATTGAGTAGGATAAAATCCAAACTCTTCAACACGGCACAGAAGGTTCTCCAAATATATCTTCAGTTTATCCTTCCAGGCTCATCCCCCACCTCCCTGCCTCTTTCTTTTCTCTCTGCCCTGTTTATACATCCTTGTTATTGTGGGAACTAGGATACGTTCCATTTAATTAATCTTTTGTTTGCGTGAGAATTATGCCTTCATTTAACAAGTACTTACTCTGTTTTTAAATTGATCTAGTAATACACTCACACACACACAAGTACATTTGAAAGCTATTGAAATCTTAATCGTATTGTGTCGATGTTAATTTCCAGGTTTTGATAATGACTGTGTATAGTTGAGTAAGTTGTAACCAGTGAGGGAATCTGGATGAAATGTATGCAGGCCTTCTCTGTACTATTTTTAGCAACTTCTCATGAATCTATAATTACCACAACTTTAAAAAGTAAAAAAAAAAAAAAATGAGCGTAGCATTGTGTTTTCTGCCCAGGAAGTGGAATGAGAAAAATAGTAAGACATGTAAGTGCTATACCTTTAAATTATTATACAGTAGTGTTATATGATTCCTATTGCTTGCTCTTTGAGCCTGGGCTTTGGGGGTATATCCTAGATTTCATCTTGGAAGGAAAAGCAAAATCCTTATTAGCACTAGAACAAAGACTTGGCTTTTGAACCAGACAGACCCACACTGGATTCCAGTTCTGCTGTTTATAAACTAAATGAACTTGGTCAAGTCACTTAACCCTGAGCCCACTTTCACCATAATTAATAAAAATTATGATCATATGACCTACTTCTTAGGAGGCTTTGGAATATTTAAACAAGATAATGTATATAAACAAGGTAATAGGACAGAATGTAAAGTACTTAGCTTATAAATAAACAAGGATGACTTCTCTCTCAGGCCACATCAGCAAATCCTGTTGGCTATTTTTTTTCCTGTTGGCACTATTTTTGAAATATATCCAGAATCCTACTACTTCTCATCTCTACCTGCTTAGTTCAAGTCACTATTACCTTCCCACCGAGTTACTCCAACAGCCCTTTAACTGGTTTCCTTGCATCTGCCCCAATACCTACCTAACATTTAATCTGAACACAGCAGTCAGAGATATCTTGTCAGTGTGTAAATTGAATCATACTATTCCTCTACTTAAAATCCTCCAATAGGTTCTCTTCTCACTCAGAGGAGAAGGCAAGGTGTTTGAAATGGCTTTCCATGGTCCCTGTCCTTCCCTGCTTGCACCCAGTCACATACCTCTGTGATCCTATCCTCTTTCCTCCCCTTTCACACTCAGCCCTGGGATGCTCCTAGTCCAGAGCCTTTGCACTCACTTTTCCTTTGCCTGGATTGTTCCTCTTCTCAATGCTTCACTCCCACTTTTCAGTCAATGCTCAGAAGTCATTCTCATGAGGCCATCTTAATCACTCTACTTAAACCTGCAATTCCCATCTCATTCCTTTTTTGTTTTCCATACCATTTACCACTTATAACATTCTCTGTAATTTATTTATTGCCTGTCTTCTCTCACAGGGATGCAAGTTCCATTTGAACAAGTTTGGTCACCACTATGTCCCCATGTGTAAAATCATGCCTGGTATATAGCTGGCCCTCAATAAAATCTTACCAGTGAGTGAATGAATGAATGAATGAATGAATGAATTCCAGCAGAGTGAACAATATGAGCAAAACTACAGAAGTGTGGAAGAACATGGTCCATTCAGGAAATGGAGAGTGGATGAGTGTGACCAGAGTCAAATGTGTGTGTGTGTGTGTGTGTGTGTGTGTGACCAAGTCTTTCTCCTTTGCCCAGAAGACACCTTGAAGTGTCAATATCTCATGCCTCCATTTCCTTACCTCCCACACTCTTCACCCTTCTCCTGGTTCTCTTCAGCCTCTGTCACTCTACCACCAACAACTTCCAGATCAATGAATCCAGTCGTCATTCCATTTAACCTTTGGGCATGATTTGCCACTGTTGACAACCCCATCCCTCTCGAAGCACTATTTTCCTTTGATTCTCATTTCACAACACTTAGTTTTGTGTGCCTCTTCTCAATCCCCTTTGCAGGCTAATCCTTTCTATTTACCCATTCAAAAAATTCCATTCTAGACTCCCTCTTTGCCAACTCTACCCTCTTCCTAATCTCTCTCATCCACTCCATGGCTTCAGGGGCCACCTAGGGTTACGCGACTCATGGATGTGTATCTTTAACACACTGCCCCTTGGAGCTTCAGGTTAACTTGCTCCTTATGTCCCAAAGGAACTTAAACCCAACATTCTCCAAATCATGTGTGTAGTCTTCCCTCATCCAGCAAACCTACTTCCCAGACTCCTCAGACCTAGCCATTTTGTCTCTTGAGTCTAGAATGCTCTTACCTTCCCCTTTGCCCAGAGAAGCCCTTCCTAGTTTCTAGAAATCAGCTCAAACGCCACTTCCACAAAGATGACTTTCCTGAGTTTCTGATTGGGTCAAATCACCCATTACATCATATATTTTTCTTTCTCCATGGCATTACTGTAATCATTTTATATTTGTTTGTGCAATTATTTGACAGAGATCTGAACCTCACCCCCCTGTCCCAGCAAATAGAGTCTGAGGTTATATTATTTGTATTTACTCTTGTGTCCCCAGACCCTGCATACTGCCTAGCAGATGGTAGGTGCTTAGTAAATATCCATTGTCTCCATTCTAGTAATAAAAATAATATAACTACACATCATCGAGTACCAGGGATTGAACTATACTTGATACTCATTGTCCCATTTAATCTTTAAGATATACTTTGAGTTCACATCATTGTGTTTATATACATATATATGTGTATCTATACACACATATACATGTATTAATATTTTGTGTATTACATAATATGTATATTTAATATGTATGCACGTATATATATGATATACATGTATGTCTAATATATACATATAGCACGTATTTCAACAGGAATATATATATTATTAAACTCTGTATATGTATCTTGTTTTTAAAATAAGGAAATTGATAAAAACTAAAATAAAATAAGGAAATTGAGACATAGCCAAGTTAAGTAACTATCTCAGTATGCCCACCTGGGGACCTGGACCCCAACTTCAGTGTCTTTTCTCCATCCATATTCCACATAGAGAAGCTACACTGAAGATGTACAAATATATTTTTCAGATATTATCATCTTAATAACTTACACATTTAAATAAGACTATTTTCATAACACGTGATATGAACACATATGTAGTTCAATCATATATGTAGTGTGGATAGAACTTTGGGTAATTTTTAAAAATGTGGCCCATCCTCTCTATGCAATGATGGTCATCTCTGAAATTTACGTTGGTCCAGGACCACATGGTTGCTACTGCCCATGATATTTCTGCTACTGCAAATGATAAGGAGATTCAAACTCACCGATCTCACCGCAATGGTGTGCATCCAGCCTCCTGACCCCCTCCAACCAGGTGTCCTCACTTAGGGGAGAGTCAACATCACCAAAGATGTTTCCATGCAGCCAGGATTTAGAAGCACTGAGGCTGAAGAGATTAGAAAAGGAACGGCGGATTCTCCTTTTCTTTCTAAATATTCTGGAGAAGAATGAAGGTAACATGATGCATAATGAATAGCAGCCACCTCTGGTTCAAAAGCAAGAATTTAGTGAAAGTGATTTGACACATAGAACACATCTCTATAACTCAGATCTGCAAAGCTCATTTCATTTGTTCCCTCTGTTAATCCCACAGAAGTTTCTTAAATTCTGTGTGTGCCAGGTGCCTGGATCAATACCAAAATACTGATATATAAGATAAAAACTTGGGTTAAAAAATGTTCACAATCCAGTACAGGAGGAAGACAAGAATAATGCAGATGAAGCTAATGCCTTTATAGAACTTATCCCACGCCAGATGTCTTTCTACATGGTTTACATATAGTAACCACATTATTCTTAGAACAGCCCTGAGAGGAAAGTACTATTGTGACCCCATTTTTCAGATCAGGAAACTGAGGCACAAAAGGTTAGGTAACTTGGCTGGGAATATACCTTTAGTAAGTGTTATAACTGGGAGGTAAACCCAGGTGAGCTGGTTCCATAGTCTCTGCTCTGCATTACCGTGTTATGTCTGGGACATAGCTCTGTAAGCTGTTCTGTAAGCATCAGGAAGGGTATTGCTGATCGAGAGTAAAGGGAGCCTTCTAGGAGTAGGAGACCATTGAGCTGCATAGGATGATCTGACCTATTCACTGAAGAACAAATATGCCTCATTTTGGGTCATGCTAGGAAATGAGGCTGGAGAGAGGTAAAATTAAGGCAGGGAATGAAGAATCTTGAATATTACAATAATGGAGAATCCCAAGTGTTATGTGAAGAGGTGGAATTTGATATTAGAGTGAGGGGAAACCACTGGGTATGTCAAGGGAGGGGTATGGTGGTGACATAATTTGGTTGGCATTTCTGAAAGATTTGGACTACACAACCATCCACACTCCCAGTAATTCATCCTCTACATTGTAATCAGGGTTAACATGCTAAGGAAAAATCTGTTCCTTTGTCAATGGCTCCTCTCTACCTGCAGAACAAAAACCAATGCCCTCAGCTGGATTTGGAGCTTCTCCATTCAGTCCCTGTGTCTGCTCAGTCTTCTCTCATGTCCCTTCCACCCTGAGCTGTATCTCTGCCAAAACACCTGCCATTTCCTAAATTATACTGGGTCTCCCAGAACTCCCTGCCTGTTCCCTCTCTGGAAATCTCCAGTGCTACTTTTATTTTGGCTAACATCGTACATCTGTCAAGACTCAAATCAATCTTCATTATCTCTAGGAATCTTGTTTTAACCTATTTCTCCAAGTGAAACAGGTTTCCCTTCCTCTTCTCCTCCACTGCATTCTGTTCAGACCTCTACCCCAACACCCATATCACTTCATCACGTTTGTTAGTTTTTATGTCAGCTGTCCATGCCCCATATTAGTTTCTGAGCTTCCACAGTCTGGAGCAGTAATGGGCTCTTGTAAATCATCGCTGAATGAACAAATGAATGAATGAACAATTAGTAGATGGATTGGACTTCAGATTATTTTACACAATATGCTTGACTTACCTAACTAAATTCTCCTTGTAAAGAACACTGGTCTGGGGTGGACTCAGAGTTATGTTGCCATCTTTGTCACAGAGGAAACTGTCTGCTGTCCAAGTGTAGTAGCCATTGGAGAGGAGTCTGGGACTCCGGCGACAGGCAGAGTGGGAGCCTGTCAGGAGATCTATGGAGCAGCATTTGAAGGAAGTGTCACCATCCAGGAAATCACAGGCAAAACTAAAGGGAGAAGGAAAGTCCTTTGCATCTCTCTCCACTGCATCCAGTCCCACAAAAAAACAGATTTCTAGCCACCATGAAGGAAAATACCTCTTTGTCTTCATGGCTACCAGTTACTTCTGCTGCCCTAAAAATGTCACTGTCAATCTGGACTTCATCTCCTCACTAATGAGAGCACTGAAAGACAGGGCATATAGTGCTTCTTTCTGTTTTAAACATGTTGATGAAAACATTATGGCTAATCAGCCTTTTTGCCATATGAGGCAACTACACCCTTGACATTAATCCATTTTCTTGGATGGATAAATTACAAAACAGCCTATCTGGGGTGTTGGAAGCTTAAGAGTCTCCACTCCCTTTCTTTGAATAGTCCTCCAATTGCCATATCCTTACTCTTTCCCTGCGATTGATAAATTATAGCTCTGTGGCCACCAGACACAGATGAATTATAGGGTGAGCACACAATCAAAGAGATCTTTTTGACTTTTTCCAACTTCCCCCTAGGTCAGCTGCACAAACGATCATACAGTTTGTGATTTGGTGTCCAGGGAAATCTCTTATTTAGTTGGCTAAATCTCCACATGTCTTAGGTTTGAGAAACAATCATATATCTGTGTGATTGAAGGGCCACCTCATGTTGCATGCTCTCTGAATTTCTGACAAAGTTTTATTTAATTTTTTAAAAGATTTATGTATTTATTTGAGATAGAGAGTGAGAGAGAGCACGAATGGGGGTGGGGGAGAATCAGAGGGAGAGGGAGAAGCAGACTCCCCACTGAGTAGGGAGCCTGGGATCATAATTAGGGCCAAAGGCAGACACTTAACCGACTGAGCCACCCAGGCACCCTCTGATAAAGTTTTAAATGTAGAAACCTGTCTGCAATTAACACATGCACTAACATTAGTAAAATACAGTTTTAAATGGATAATATTTATTGAAAACATATGAGGGGACTGGCTCATACTTCATGCTTTATCTACTCTTCACAAACCTCCCCAAAAGCTAAGTATTGGAATCTTCATTGTATCGTAGGAAAAGAAAAAACCTGAGATGCTGAAGGACAAATAACTTGGACATTTTGTGATAGCTGGTGAGTGACAGAGCTAGGATTTGAACCCTGATCTATCTGACTATAAAGCACGTGCTCATTTCCATGACCTTCTTGTTCATCCTTGGTAGATTCATTTGACAGTAGCAAGAAGCCTAGAATTTGTATGCAAATTCTACACCAATGCAGGATTCCTTTATACCATTGGCACATTTCACAAAATGCTAGAGAAAACATCAATGAGATCTGCATAAGGAATAAAAGATGAAGAGAAGAGACAGGAGCAAAAAGGAAGGAAGGAAAAGAGAGATTTCATTGTAGAACTTGAACAAAATGGTAGACTCTACACACTTTTGTGGAGCACAGCATTTGGCCAGCTTGTGGATTGGTGTAGAAACTTGTTGCTCTTAAAAAGTGAGATCGTAAAGCATATTTAGGAGAACATCAGTTTAAGCAAACGTAACTATTCATCAGCATTCAGCAGCTTCTTCACTCCCCAAACAATTCACATTTGCTCCCACACTTATAGCGACCCCCTCCAATTCCGTAATTAGGGTAGGCAAGTTTTCATTTTGTAGGTGCATGGGACTGAAGGTTTATGCCCATACCAAAACTACATAAGAGCTATAACAAATATTTTTAAACCAGGAATGCAACAGAGTAAGACACACAGGAAGACAACATGAGTGATTTGTCTTGAGAAAAGCCCCATGGAATACCTTGGGAAAACACATGTGGGAGACGGCTTTCCAGTATATCCTCCCTCAGAGCCAGAAGAACCTGCATCAGCACACAGGAGAGAAGGACAAATTTATCCCACCTGCCTAACATGCATAACTGCAAATAACAAAGGCGTCAAAGAAGGCCTGCACAGCTCCAGACTCAGCGGAGATTCCAACGGGTACAGCAGTCCAGTGAATCAGGACTGACACAATTTGTCATCAGGCCTTTATGGGGAGCCAGAAATAATCTAAGGGCTTCTATCTTCTGTTTTTTCACTCACTCAACATTCCTTTAGAGGTTTCTTAGTGGAGGATGAGGTAATAATAAACCATTAGCATCAAACTGATTCATCATGAAAAGGAGGAAGAAAGCATCTTGTGTGAAGCTGTAGAAAACCAAAATCAATGACCCGATGTGCTAGTTATTTTAACTTACTCAGTAATTTGAGGAATTCAATCATCTGCCTAGACTCTCTCTCATTAGGGCATTGTAAAACACTTCTATTGTAAAATAATGAGCAGAAGACATTAGTGGAAGAAAAAAATATGAAGTTTTGTTTTGTTTTATAGAAATGATTTTCCAACATATGAAACCTGTGAATATTCTTAATTTAAAAAATCATCCGTTCATTCATTCCACTTTAACCAAGGCATAGCAACAGATTTCAGTTGGAGAAAGTGCAGTTAATTAATATTCTAAACTCTAAAGCAGGATTTTATACAGTAATGTGTAAACACTTCTAAGAGGCTCAGTGAAAGTTGATTCTTATTGCAGACGATTAATATCGAAGACAAACTTTAGACTTTCAGATCAGGCTGGTTGATTAGTAAGGAGTAAATTGTAGGTGTGTGTGTGGGGGGGTGCTGGTTACAAGCAGGGTTTGGGGAGAAAATGACAAGAGGAAGGAAGAAACTTGAAACCACTACCGTTTTAACAACGCCCTTACTTCCTGCAAGTAGCTATCAAAATCATTCAGTATTTTTTTATAGACAGTTTTGCATCTTAATAGTAGCTGATAAACAATCTCCTTTCACATTTATGCACAGGCATCTAAAAAACCAGTGATTTTTTTCTACTAAAAAGACAAATACCACATTTCTCTCAAGGAAAGAAATGAAGTCAAAATCATTGCCAAAGTGAACACTGGCACTTAAGAAGCACAAGCTACTGACAGATGGTTAATGGTATGAGTATCAGCAAAATCAAAGCAAGGAAATTGCTAAAAGAAGTCTAATCGTTCAAAAGATAATTGCGCATAGCAGTTCTCCCACATTTACTTGCTACTGGTGTTGACATCAGTTGAGATATTCGGTACATGTTGGGAAGGCTGCTTGTTCAAACTTCACAGATTTTCTGAAAAAGACATGAAAAAAAGGTGGATTATATATTAAAAATAGAAAAATGATGCCAAAACAGATGGCATCTACTAATTGCACCAGTCAGACTTGTTTACTGAATGACACAGAGATTCAGGACTGAAAGAGGAGACTGGAAAGAGTGACCACTGAGGTTGTGTCTGCATCTATGATTTTGAATTATTTCCCATTATGTGGCTGAGTGTATCCAAATAATTTCATTCTGTAAATAAGAACAGCATTTTATTTGGGAAAGCTAGATTTGCGTGGTTGATTTGTCACCAAAATAAATAATACAAGTGAGTTATTCGTTTGAGAAATCAGAGAAAAAGATTGGGTTATAGAGCCCTCTAAATACGTGTATTTGTAGTTTCATCATCCCACACACATTGCCACCATTATCAAGTTTCAAGCCAGGCTTGGGGATTGGTGTCTGTCTTTTGTGTGACACCTCGAACCACTGACAGGTTCCCATAGCGAGGGCTGGCGGTCTTTAGAGCCTGGACATTCCCAGCAGCACAAGCAGCGTTGCACTAAAAATAGGCTACCATCAGGCAGATTTCAAAACGCAGTTCTCATCAACATATAAATTTACTTTCTCAATTACAAATTAAAAATACATCCAAGTGTATAAATTATGTAGACTTTGCTCATCCACCACTCACCACATAGATCTACCTGCTGCAGACTATGACACTTTTGACACACCGCTACCCTGATAGCCTTGCAAGGTAGGACTAAATTCTTTTCTGGTTCACCACCTCTATCCACATTTTCAAAATGTGATAACTAGTAATGGACTGTTTTTGTAGCTGTCATACATTAAGTCAAACCAGGATAATCTTACAGCTCCAAAATGGATTCAATAAATTAGATACAACACCTTCTAGGAAATATACATCTTAGCTTATAGAGACCTTCCAAGAAGTCAGGAGAACACGCTAGTCATTCCCCAGAAGATCTCTAAATCAAGGCACACATTCATAGGTTTTTGTTTGGAATATAAAATAAGATGGTTTGCACCATAATATAATAGTTTGCCACTGTCCTTTTGATTTTTGATCACTATCATCTGAGGCGTGCAGCCCAAATTATACCATGTTAGCTTTCCCCAAGCATTAAGTTTCAATTTAAAGCAACACATCCTGTGGCAGAAAGCAGTTTTACTGCTCTATCTTACAAATATTTGTTTCAGGCTACAGGCAGTATACTAACAGTTAATCAAATATTAGTAGCACTGCAAAAGCCTTCAGTAACAGCTCTAAATCTTTTCAAGAAACAAACAGATTCTGTCTACCAGAATTCCATCAAAGTAACACATCCATTCTGCAAAATAATCTGTCCATACATGCTCCTTCCAAAGGGAGTTCCCAGTTGCTTCTTCCTATTGATAAATAGAAGAGTCACTGAAGTACGAAGCTTCCTCTGGTTGACAGTGGAGAGATCCTGGACTTAGCGGTCCTTCAGCTGAAAATAATGTCAGAGTGTCAACAGGTGCAGAGATGTCTCGTAATAAAGGGAAATCCCATTCCCTCCTAGTAACAGATGCCTGCACACGCCACTGTGTGCAGGAGTTTGCAGGGAAATTTGGTCTTCAGTGGCCTCTTGTTCTTTTGGCTGTTTCTTAGAATAAAAGGGCATGTCGTTCTCGAGAAAGTCAGCTTTATAACCGTTCTTGTTTTCTTTCAAAAACAGCCTGCGTAACCAGAGACTGAGAGGCAAGATGAGGTCACACTTCCTGTTGGGCTCTCATCAGTGGCATTCACGCCCAGGAGTTATGGTGAAGACTGAAAATAGTTTCCTGGACCAGCAGCAGGGGAGGTGCCACCCACAAATCAGGCCAGCTGGATACATCATGGTCACTCGAGGGATGCCTTTCTGAGCTACCTCGCCACCCCTTGCTGTGAGAACGTGAGAACTTCCCTAGAAGCCACACTTCTTGCTCATCATCCTCTGGCCTTTTTCTGTATGAGCAGTGCATAGTTGTGCTTTGTCCAAATTAATTAAGTTTATTGATGATAACACACTGATGCTATGAAGTTCAGGATACTATTTGATACCAGGAACTGGATTTTGTGAAAATGTCTGTAGTGGCAATATGTTGATTCGCCAAAGGTTGACCTTTACAGGGAACCCTATGGGTGGCATTTTGCATTTTATATTTATATTTTAGGTGACCTCAAAGAATTTCCCGCTGTCAGGGGGTTCCTAAAAATCCCCGCTGTTGAAAATGGTAAAACAAAACAAAACAAAACACATTCTAGCAACATTAAGGTGCGTTGGGTATGGAGAGAATGTGGGTTTTGGAACCAGGCAGAGATTCAAACTTTGCCTGCCAGCTGTGCAACCTTGGATTTGTGGCTTAACCTCTTTGAGTTGCAATTCTTTCAATCGTGAGTAATAATATACATTTTGCAGGATGCCTTGGAAATTAAATGAGATAAAAGAAATGAGAAATAAGTGAATCCTCAGCACAGAGGTGCAAGATGTGCACCTTGTTTTCTGTAAATCAGCTTCTCTTCTGAAGCCCTAGTCAGTCAGCCTGGCAGAAAAGTTAATCTTATTTTTTCTTGAGATTCCCTTCCTCCCTAAGGTTATGCCAAAGGCAAGATCTTCTGCAGAACATGCCCCTAGCAGCAGAAGCTGTTGATAGTGCATCTAGTCTGTGGTAGATGGCTTGCAAAGATTGCCCTCAAAGATCTTGTGTGATTCCCTCTCCTTCAATGTGGGCAGAAGCAAATAACTTGCTTCTCCTGCATAGATGAGACACAAGTGGTGGGTTGTCACTTCCACGATTAGGTTACAAAAGTCTGGTTGGCCTCCCTATTTCCTTCTAGGCTTATACACTTTGATGAAGCAAGCCACCATGTTGGAGAAGCACACAAGGCAAGAATCTAAGGAGTTGTCTCAAATGCCAGGGAAGGACTGAAGCTGGGAATCAATCCAGCCAACAGCCACGTGAGTGAGCTTACAAGTGGATCTTTCCCCAGTTGAGCCTTGAGATGACTGTAGCTCCAGCTAATACTTTGATTGCAGCCTACCAACACCTGCAAGCAGAGGCATCAGCTCTGCATTGTCCATATTTCTGACCCATAGAAACTATGTGATAATAAATCGTGTTTTGAGGCACCAAGTTTTAGGGTAACTATTTTTAAGATTTTATTTATTTATTCATGAGAGACACAGAGAGAGGCAGAGACAGAGGCAGAGGGAGAAGCAGGCTCCCTGCAGGGAGCCCAATGTGGGACCCGATCCTGGGACTCCAGGATCATGCCCTGAGTTGAAGGCAGGTGCCCAACTGCTGAGCCACCCAGGCGTCCCTTAGGGTAACTTTTTACACAACAATAGATAACTAATACATAGTCCTCAAAAATGTTACTTTCTGGGCCATTTGTCCTTGTAGTCTATTTGGTCAGAGTCTCTTGCTGCATTAGTGCCATCCTTAGAATACAGGCACATTTATTCCAGACTGTGTCTGGTCATATCTGTCTACATTTACCCAATAGCCTGTCTGATCTACAGCTGTTCTAGGAGTCTGGTACCCTCTCTCTTATAATCCACAGATCTCCCCCTTCTCATCCTTTTCCTGTTTCTTCTATTCTTTCTATTTTCGTCTTCTTCCTTCCAGCCCTGGCTCATGTTTTCTAGAAGGGGAAGGGAAAAAAAAATCCTTCTGATTCTTCAAGACGCTGTGCCCTGCCTATGTCCATAAATCCCCTTTCCTGAAAGGCTGACATCAAACAGATTTTACTTTTTGGTCTATTCCTTTACTGATCTGGAACATATTAGGACCTCATTAATGTTCATAATCATTGCTAACTTTCTGGAGCCCTCACTATTTGCCAGGCACTGTTCTACTGTCTTTACATATATTAGCACATTTAGTCCTCATACCAACCCCATGAGGGAGGCTCTGTCATTATCCTCATTTTACAGATGAGGAAACTGAGGCACAGAGAGCTCAATACTTTGCCTAACGTCACACAGCCAGTCAACGGCGAGCTGGAAGAGCTAAGATTCTAAGCTTGGATTCTTAATCTGTCAGCAAAAACAATCATTCCTTGTGCACCAGGCCCAGTATGGAAACACTGCATGTATAATCTTGTTTCAACCTCACGCAGCCCGAGGAAATAGTACAGTTATTATCCACAGGCAGGATGGAGGTTTGGGGAGTTTACATAATTCTCCCGACACTACCAAGCATCAGAGCCAGAATTCCAGCCCTGCACCTTCCTCTTCACTCCCCTCTCTTCAGACCCACTTGTTTCCTTGCTGTTCCTTAAATGCCAGACTTGTGCTTGCTCCAGGATTTTTTCTGCTCACTCTTCTTCCTGCCCAGAATATCCCCTGGTAGTCAGAGACTGTTCTTCTTCACCTCCCTTAGCTCTTGACTCAACTGCTTTGGTCTTCACTAAATCACCCTCCCCACACTCCCCTTATTCTTCCCCTGCTGTATTCTTCTCTCTAGTACTTTTCACCATGTACCATACCACAAAATTTATTTTTTTGTAGTGATAAATATATTCCTCAGCCAGACTGTAGGCTTTACGGAGGCAGAGAGTTTCGTCATTTTTCTTCATTTCTGTAGACCTAGTATCAAGAATGCTGCCCGCCATATAATAGGTTATCCATTAATATCTGTAGAATCAATGAATAACTGAATTAGAAGCTAGGGAGAACTGATTTCAGCACCTTTATTCTGCATGCTCGAAATCAGTGTTGTTGTTGAAGATTTTTATTTTTATTTTTTAAAGATTTCATGTATTTATTTGAGAGAGAGAGAGAGAGACAGACAGACAGACAGACAGAGGTAATGAGAGAGCACACGAACAAGGAGGAGAAGGAGAAGCAGCCTCCCCCTGGAGCAGGGAGTCTGATGCGGGGCTTGATCCCAGGACCCCAGGATCATGACCTGAGCTGAAGGCAGACACTTAACTGACTGAGTCACCCAGGTGCCCCAAAATCAGGGTTTTGAAAAATTCCATCCCATGGAATGTTCAACCCTCAACTCTTAAGGGAGGTTATGTATGTAGAAGGGGAAAGGGCGAGCAGTAAATTTAAGCCCACTCTCAACACTAGAAGTCTTTCCCAGAGCAACTAGGCAAGACAAATAAATAAAAGGTATTCAAATCAGAAAGGAAGAAGTAAAATTATCCATTTGCAGATGACATGATCTTATATATAGAAAACTCTAAAGACTCTTTAAAAAAACTGTTAGAACTCATAAATGAATTCAGTAATGTGTGGTGTGTTTTTTTTTTTTAGGATTTATATAAGGTTTCTTGCGGCTAGAATTCCTGTCTCAAAAATGCTCTAGATATGTCCTTATTGTTTGCTCAGGGTTCATCTTTGAATGACAGTGGGGATAATTGTTTTTTTTTTTCTTTAGGAGATTGACATGGTGAGAGATAGATGGAGAAAAGGGGGGGGTCAGGCAGAGGAGCGGGATGGAGAGAGACCGATTGGCTCATGAAAACCCTATCAATAAAGTTTAAGTAGGAGCTTGCATTCTTGGTGGCAAGAACAGTGTTCTAGTCATCTCTAAAATCCCCAGCAGCAAACACAGCTTTGATGCAAAAAAAATCCTCAGATGTGTGTTTTCATGGAATTACAGTGAGTGAAACTGAGACCATCCTCAGAGACTACAATGACAAGAAATGTGTGTCCCTGTGACTGGTGACAAAGAAACATCAGGAAACACCTGACACTGGTATCTCAATGATAATTGGCAAAACATAGAAGACTTGTTCTATTGAGTTTAATCCTCCTGACAACCCTGGGAAGTAGATTTCATATTCCCATTACTGTGTGAGGAAAGGAGAATCAGAGAGGTGTCTAGTTCCCAGATATTCTGGTACTAGTGTCAGGTTTAACTTACAACTCCTGGTCTTACTCCAAACCCCTAGCTCTTCATTATTTGAAGTTGCTATTTTTTTTATGATAGTCACACACACACACACACACACACACACACACACACAACAGAGAGAGAGAGAGAGGCAGAGACACAGGCAGAGGGAGAAGCAGGCTCCATACACCGGGAGCCCGACGTGGGATTAGATCCCGGGTCTCCAGGATCGCGCCCTGAGCCAAAGGCAGGCGCCAAACCGCTGCACCACCCAGGGATCCCTGAAGTTGCTATTTTAAAAAATAGCAAGAAATAAGTTAATGCATTGATTTCCTTTAAATGTAAAATCTTCTATGTTCTTCAGAGTTTTTTTTTTTAAGGAAAAGTAAAGAAAGAAAATTAAATTGTGTTTATCCTTTTCCTGGTGAAACTGGCTCTGTTGAATGTTTTGCAAAAACACAAAAGAGGAAGTAATCCAATACCTGACCACAAAGTTGTGTTGCTGCAATATTTTTACTGAGGCAAAACAATGAACTGTGGCAATGCTTGTGAAGACAAGTTCTCTGCCCTTACCCACCCTTCTTTCCTCCCCCAGAGAGTCACTTTTTCATCTGAATGTCAGGCAGTTGCTTTGGAGACGTTGGTATTGTGTTCTGGTCCCGCCCAAGAGAACAGACACTTAGGCCAGTTGCAAGTGACTAGTTAGAGCACAGATTCTGACCTTGCACATTCCTGCATCCTGACATTTAATGTTTACCAAAAGCACCTGTTTGGTCTACTTGACTGCCCTGTTAAATGCCTCAAGATCAGGCATTTAGCTTATTTATCACTATGCTCCTTGAGCCTAGCATGGTACTTGGCATATTGCAGATGTTCA